TTATTTAAAATTAGAAAAATACGTTTCCGGCGGACACGAATGTATAAGCATATAAATTCGAGTATAGAATCCATAATGCTGTATCATCTGTGTCGACTCCTACCGCTTTACGAATAACAATAGTTCGTGAGATGTTTTAAGGGGGTATTCTAGTTTGTCGGGTCAAAAAAATCGATTTTAAAAAATTGCATTTTCGGAAAGTTAATAGTCTTGAAAATATATTACCAAAGCCAATAGCTGATTAAGCTGAGATAGCTGTAGGTTATTATTTACATTTAATTTATTTGTAAATCGTAGAAACTTTAAATGCATTTTTCTCAAAACAGCATTTTTTAACCGCGTTGACATAATATCTCGGGAACTAAGCGTCCGATCGACTTGAATTTTTACGTGTCCATTTAATATATGTTCTTTTATTACTGGAATTATGGAATTTAATTTACGATTATTCCATTTTATTATATAAAAAAAAAACCAAACAAATTTATAGGTGGAAATCAATATCATTTTTTAAAACATTACCGTTTCAACAATTTTCAATATTTTTTTCTTATATTCTATAGTTCCAGTAATAGCGTAACTCTTACAATTTAATAATTTCTTTAATTTTTTGGTTTCAGGCTACTAGAACTAACGGAATGATGTCAACGTGTCAAAAAGAAATTTTTTCATACGTCTTGCGTATTTTTTTTGTATGATACATATGGAGACACGAAAAAATAATTTTTAAATATCTATTTTGTACAAATAAAGTTTCAAAAAGTTTTATATTAATGTATTAATTCATTTCTTTAAAAAAAATTTCTGAATAATCATATAATTTTTAGCCTTACGAGAACTAGAATACCTCCTTAAAGCTTCGGTTGAAATCAAAGAATGCTGATTTTCTCAAAAACTATTAATTTTCAAACCTAATATATGTATACGTAAAAATGACTTGTTTTTTAAATATTTATCGACTTCCTCAGGTTTGAAAGCGATCGTGACCTGAAATCATTTTCTCGAAAAATACGCAGAGATGCAATATACTGCTTTATAGGGATTATTTTTTGTGCCTCAGAATAACCACGCAAAAGCTGATCAAAATCCGTGAAATACATATATGAATTCCTCCTTGTAAGATTGGCTTCGGCTGAATATACGATTTTTCTTATTTAAAATTTGATTTTTATTCTACTTGAGTAGCATCATAAAATTGCACAAGTTTTACAAATACAACTACGTATACTTTCGTACAGATAAAAAGCAGTATAAAACACTACGAGAGTGCTTCAATATCGAGGAATTTCGTTTCATATTATAAACGATTGAAAGCTATTAGCAAGAGTAAAGTTAGTAAGCTAATTCAATAGTGGCAACAGAATATCTCGGTTATTTTTTACGAAGAACGTTACATCGGTTCAGTATTGGAAATAGCGGTTTGAATACCAGATACACTTCTTTTTTCTTTCAGCGGAATATATTCGCTTTTCATTCAAATGCGCCTTTAATTTTCCTTCCCTTTGCATTCGTGTGTAATACATGTTCCATTTGCGTTTTCGTGAATGTAACGGGCGACAGTCGTATATATATATATATATTGGGTTGGCATGTAGCTCGAGAGACACGACGTTCTTAAAAAATTCACAATATGTCATCGACGGATTGTCGTGGTTTTGCAAGGCGATGGATGTGCATAAATATTCATTAGATCCCTTCGATCTGATTGTCGCGTAGCCCGTTATCGATTTCTGTATGTCGATTCGATGGGCTGCAGCTGATCTTACGATATATGTACACATCGTTCAACGAAGAAACTTCGAACTTACGGAGTGAGTTTGGAGCTATTAAAGAAGTTTTGTTTTTAACGACGTTAGAATCATTCTATTTTCGATATCTAGACGTGGATAATCGGTGTAGATATCGCGGAAATAAATTTAAAATTTATGGGGCCATCTCCGATTAAAATTGAAATGCAAGTTTCCGGTTTTATAACTCAAGGAATACTCAAGCGAATGTCAAAATGACTGTTTTGACGTCATGAAAGTCAAAATGATGATTTTTGGTTACAAAATTTCACTGTTTATTGACGTTAAGAATCAAAGTAAAGTTGATCTTTCTTGTTGACTTTTGTGTGTTCCTTGGGAAGTTTCTACTGTTTCCAGTATTAAAGTATAATTAATAAAGCTGCTAGTTTTGATTACTCATATTTTTATTCATGAAATTATGAAACAAAATTCACTTACCTTTAATTCTCAGAATAAACGACTCGACTAATGGAGTCAAATGGAGCTCGTCGCTCGATGTCGTTTCGGAGATATTGAGCAGCTAAAGGAAATTAATCGGGCGCCATCGTTATTTTGTGAGGATGGTCTGCAAGTGAGAGACTTCATGAGCCGAAGCCGAGGATTCTTAAATATCCCCGACGGGAAAAGTTCGGGAGCGCCATCGGGGTCATGACTATCGATCTTCGCGGGCCATCTTCTCGCAGCCGTTGCCATTAGCTCCGAATTGCCAACCATCCAAGAGATAGACAAAGACTTACATCGTCCATTTAGTCTAAATTTCTGTTTTTACTGTCATACTCCATAATTCTGATAATAATAAAATAATGAAGAAATAAAATCAGTCTTCTATTTGTATAGAAATATATTAACCTCATTACGGATTCAAACAGACGCTGGTCTGTTTGGATCCGTTTGTCGCAAAATGTAATTTATTCTCTTACTAATATTTTATTGAAAAACTTTTATTCGTCTGTTAATATAAGATCTTTTTCTGTGAACATTTTTTTTTTCACCTTTTTTAATCATATTGACCCAAAAGTATAGTAAATTAGGACGAACCGGTAAGATTAATTCTCTTTCTTTCTTCTTCTTTCTTTTCCTTTCTATCTCATCAAGATGGGACGTTTCTTAATATACCTGATTAGTGAGGAAACCGCTGTTCGGACAGGCGGTGCGAGAATGAATCGACGAGCGTTGTGTGGGTAATTTATTTACAAGAGTAAAACATTATGTACAAGAATGCGCTTTCTCGCAAGAGAACCGTGTGAAAACAAGGCAGTGAGAAGGGTGTGAGCGGGTGGGAAAACACAGTTTTTTTTTCTTTTTTCTTTCATTTCGGGCTAGTCGTGGGTGTAAATCATACGAGCCGTAAAGTCGCGTGGTTTACATACATTTCTCTACTATTATCTGTACGTGTGTGTATGTGTGTGTACGCGTGTCATCTGTGTCTTTCCTTTAAATTTTCATTTAACACTTATGCCATAAGTAGAAAGTACTTCGCCGCCGGGTGGAGGTCGGTCCACCCCGTTTTATTACATCGCTCTTTCGGTTAAACTTGCTCGTGACACATTTATTTTACACTTAACACTTTCCTCACTATGGTCGGGAAAGGGCGCGGGGCTGTAGTCCTGTTTTATTCGCTCGCCATCTCTCTTCTTTCTAGCGACACTCGCGCTCAATTACGTCAACACTCACTGCGCGTTATCATTAATTCCCTTACGTTTGCATCGCGTTAGACACTCACGGCGCAATTATCCCTAAAAATTTCAGCAGCGACACAATGCGACTTTTGATCCTTCTCGTACGAAGCATTCTTAATTAGGAAATTAAGAATTCTGGATCTCTCTCATGTCGCTCCTAAAATTCTTTAATATTGATAACGTCATTTTGCGTCATTCGTGGATATGATAAGAATTCTCGACTGCTCGGTCGTGATCGTACAAATCGTTGCTCAACGCGTGCCGTATTATTTTCAACAATAAACCGTACCGATGCTAAGTCACGAAGCACAAACTAATTTCTGAGCTAAATCAAACGAACTTCTGGCTAATCAAGTATTCACGAATAGGAAATTTTTTATCATTATTCTTCGCTTTATTTCGCTTACCTATGGATATAGAGTGCAAAAGAAGCTTATTATGCGAAAATAACTATGTTGGATTACGTCAATGGGTTTGCCTTCCTTTAGGTGTTTACGATTGTTAGAAACAAATTGGAATTAAATCTAGCAATATTGTATTGTGATTGGTATCATTTCACCTGATGGACGTGTTGTAAAAAACGATTGTGTAAAAAAAATAATTAAAAAATTTTTAACGAAAAAATATTGTAAAAATATAATTTCGTTAAAACATGATATTTGTCAAAACGCATAATATATATTGTCAGTTAAAAAAAAAAGAATAAACCTGCCTGCTTGTTATTCAAAAGAATGGTTGTTACACACGATGCTGTAATTATTAATTTTGGACGCAAGTTGATGGTAAAAATATCATTTGTGCAACATTGCCAATTACTGGGGAATGTTTTCGAGATGGAGATACGATTCGCTGGTTATCATTACGCAGCTATTTAACATTTTATACGTGTACAGCTCACCTGTAAATACTGTCGCTGTATTATATAACAAATGTATGAAAAGTCCATTCTTTTTGAATTCATTCTTTCGCGGCTGGGAAAAGTCGACTCAGAAATTCGCCGTGGAATTCATGCTTCTAAGACACCGTGTAATACGACTGCCTCACACTCCGCTTAACCCTTAGGCACAAAGCTTTCCCTTTTACTACGTAAGAGCTGTCTCTTAGAGATTATCTTTGTATTTTCTCACCCCAGCGGCCAAACCCACAGTTAAGTTTAAGATAAACGGGATGGGGATTTTCGCGTTAGATTAAGAGAAGCGAGATAACCGCTATACAACGAGAGTATTTAAATTACGACACGCAATTAAAATAACATAACGGCGCTTATATTTTTAGATTAAAATTCCCGCCTCGAGATAAATGGAAATTGGAGTTGAAAAAAAATTATGATTTACAATCGCTGCATTTCTATCATTTCGTGCGCGATTTCGACGAATTCAAAAAAAACTTATTCCGATAAAATAAAATGATAAACGCGGTGGAAAACAATCGTGTCAATAACGAAGAATAGTATATGACATTGCAGTGATGATGAAATATTATTCTTCAAAAATCAGTTAATCCTAAAGCCATAAAATTCGCATAGCTGGTATTAATCAAAAATTTTTATAAATAACCTTTCATTAACTTATAAATTCTCGCTTATTAACTGTACCATTATGACTATTATATAATGTTGCAAATAATTTAATCTTTCGGCCGCTACGATGAAACTAATTAAGACCTAATTCAGATTGATCTGTGCGGAAGGGTTAACGTTTAGGATGTGTGGGCGACCATGTTGCGATACGTCCATCAATTTTACGAGTCTCGGGCGACCTTCGTGTACACGCACATTATCTCAGCTGGCCTAGAAGGAAGGCAAGCATCACCAGGACCGTTTTCGAGTTGGGCGATCCGGCTGCCGTGTTTCCATGCTGCATCGCAGCCGGATGCTCACCTGAAACAGAAATAAGTGCTTGTGAAATACTTCTCCCTTATTTTCAGCGATCTGACGATCTCAGTGGAACTCAACGGAATGTACGGAGAAGCAGTTAAGCAAGGAGGATGTAATGCAGACGTGCTCGAGATATAGGAATTTAATTTTTCATGGTTGTAATAATAACCGTGAATAGCATGAGCCATATCCTAAAAATAAACTCTGAGTTATAAAGGAATTTATAAAGTGGAAATTGTTATAAATGTGAGGTTGCATAGCACATTATTCGATTCGATTACTTTTTCGAATATTTATTTTACAATTCTTTACACATATTGTTCGTTCGAGCTTTTGAAAAGTATATATTTTAAAGTTTTAACATTTTACGAATTTTTAGATTTGATTAAACTGCTGTCGGATTATAATTTTATTTGTTCATGATACATTTTAAAATGTTAAATTTTATCTACTACAGAATATTGTAAATTTTCAAGCACAATAGTAAATTACATTTCAAATTTAAATCAGATTTTAATTTTTCACTTTCCTGGTTGTGTATCTTTCTGGATCTCACCTGTCAAAAATATATATAAAATGTATCTATTTAGCCTGATATTAATTCACAATTCCATCTGCGTGTAACACACTGAAATGTTCTAGCTTTTATCTACGTAAAAGTGTTGTAAAATCGTAAATTTCACCGTGCGGTAGTAAATGGTATCGTAATGCGTTTCTAGGTCATTTGTATGGGTAGATACGAAATCTCTAGGCATAAATTGTTAAAGAACCTTCACCGCGAAACGAGATAGATATTTCGAGGTGAAACAGTCTCAAGTTTGACGTAATTCTATGTCGGAACGTCGGGAGCCTCGACGGATTTGCAGAATTGAGGTCAGTGTAATATAGCAACGGTATAGAGGAAATGGCAACGTGTTTCTCGTGCGTCGGGGCATTCGCACCCTCGATTGATTTCTTGGCGAACAGTACTGGAATTGGAACGAGCGTCGCGAGAGCGGTTTGCGCCTTTATTCTTTTTCTTCGACTGACGAACGGCAAACGTGAGTACTTTTTATTATCCCAGTAACGCTACTTTTCGAACAAAAGACTCAATCTTGAGTCTGGCATATTCTAGAAGTAACCAAATAAATAAATAAAGACAAACAATTAGAAAAGTTTGAGAAAATTAATTTCAAATATATTCAAAATGTCCACCTGTCGTCCAAGCGACTTTTTATTTGTCACACAACTTTTATTTCGCACTTTTCAATTTTTTTAATTCAAAATTGGACTTCTCGAAACTCACTTAATCGAAATCTAATTTGACAAATTGCGCAAACAGTTTGCGGTCATTCGCAACGCTACATAAATTTAAAGTGCATAAGTAATGCATTACTCGAAAAATCAAATCAAGCCGTATTATAGCCCTCCTCATTTTCCGTCACCCCACGATTACTGTCGATTAATATGCATCGTGCGAGTTCACGAGCTGTTACGTACATTTTTGGAACAATCATCCCGTAGTGTACGTTTCTATTAACCGCGTTCATTTGTCTCTTGCCGCACGATCGGATTCGTTATTTGGTTTTATGCGGACGTTTCAAATGGTGATCGTATTTGCATACGTCCCACATAATGCACATACTACCGGAAATGGTTTGATATTGATGATCGAGCAATTATCTCGAGAACTATGTAGTTTATCACAATCTTATCGATGAAAAGAGGATGTTAAAAAGAGGCTGATTTCTGCTCAGAAAGGGGTAAGTAAACGAAATAGTATTTTTTAAATATAAATTTTGACCTCCTGAATACAATAATGTTAATAAAAAGGGATCGATAGGGAACACCTTGAAATGCCACGAACTTTTTAATAATTTTAACATATTCAGAAGGTTAAAATTTACAAAAAACACTATATCTTTTACTTACATCTTTTTGAGCAAAAATTTGCCCTTTTTTAGAGGATATTAAAAAAGAACTGACTTTTGCCCAAAAGAATATTCAATCCCTATTGAACTTCTTATCGTATTCAGCAGGTCAAAATCTATAAAAAACACTATTTTACTTACACCTTTTTGGGCAGAAATCGGTCTCTTTTTGATAGAGATGCACCGGATCGTAAAATTACCGGATATCCGAGAAGGCAATTTTTTCGAGTCGGATATCCGACATTTTCCTTTTTGTCTTCTAAAAAAAGCCTACAGGGAAAAAGATTGTAATTTTACGACAATGTATAAGATATTATAGCATCATGAATATACATACTTATTTCTAGAACATTTGTATAAGAAAAAATCAACAATTTAATGATATCAAATTTCAACGGGATACCTCCCTGGATAATAATGATATCCGGCTATCCGGTCAAATAGTAAAAAAGTACCGGATAATATCAGATACCAAATACTTTCCGGATATCCGGTGCATCCCTAAAGCATCTTCCTTCCTAACACTATTTTAAATCAATTGTTTAATACAAAATTTGCAATAAAACGCGCTAATCGCATTTATAATGCAAAATTAATTTATAAAAAGATTAAATTCTTCTCTTAATAAAATATGTATAAAAAAAAATTCAAATTGTTAATTAATCAAATTACAGTCGAACCTCTGTAAAAATAACTTGTCGGGACCGATCGACCTCCGTAAAAGTAAATAAATGCGCAAGCAGATGTGCTTGATTACTATATGGGAGGTTAAGACATGACTTTTACGGAGGTTAAAACAAAAACGGAGGTTCGACTGTATATAAATGTAAATTGGAAAGAACTGTTCCCAATGTATTTCTCTGAATAGAGTAATCTTTGTCTGAATGACATTCTAAAAAGCTGTAAAATATTTTTAAAGATAGAAGATTTTAAAGAAATTTTCTTTGTCTAATAATTTTCACATTTTCAGTTCCTTTGTGTGTCAGATCGAATGAAAACACGACGTGTCGACTCGCAACAAGTTCCGCGGCGAGAGTGGCGAGGGACTCGTCGGAAATGTCGCGCGAGCGACATGGGACTGCGTAATTAACTGTGTAATTAATCGAGAATTTTGAAATTCAACGGAATTCGTCAGCGATTTCGCGTCGCGATGGAACAATGAGTGAGTTATTAATACATCCGTGTATAACGCGGACCGCAAAGGCGAATTCGGCTCGCGAATCTCGTGGCGGTAGAGAATAGGCAAAGTATAATTAGTCGAATGTGCGAATTAAATGAATTTTGCATCGCCGTTTAGCGCGCGCTCGTAAAAGCGGAGAAAGCGGGTCGTGATTATCACGGACAGACACATAGACGTAGATGGGTATATAAGATTGGCGAATCCAATGAATAATTCAGAATAAATTTCGATAAAACGACTCGACAAAATCGAGCAAATTTTTGTGAGCCCTGTGCACAGCAAAGGATCGTTTTATTCTTGCGAAAATGAAAATTTTCCCGTTTAACGGGATGCAACGTTTAAGAAGGAGGAGAACATTATTTAATAAATAGCTCCTGTCGTATTAAATTTTCTGCTTGACGTGCGTTGGACTCTTTGAAGAACAGAACCGCTGTTACTGTTCTCTCTCTTGACGCATGCTCGTATAATTACATCCCTGTAAATGCGACCCGGCGCATTTGGCACTGGAGGACGGGTGACTTTTCGCGAAATTAATGTTCTTCTAACAGGCGATGGGCGCCGAGTCCTAGACGAAAGAAATAAGTCGGCGGGTCGTACAAATCGCGACTGCGGCGCGCATTCGCCTTGCCTTCTTCCTGTTATGCATATTTGAATATTTATCTTTCCGGAGTAGCCGGCGCGCGCATTCATCGAGCATGGAGAAGAGATGAATTCATGCACTTCGCCCGAGATAATTGCACTTCGGCCGAGGTCCGCAGCTCATTTGCACTGCCGGAAGAAATGCGCTTTTTTTTTTGACGTTGAAAGACGGTACTTCATTCGTTATTTGTTTCAGTTTCCGCTCACCATCCGCTATTTCCGCCTGCCGAAAGTCTCGACAGCAAACTACCCGAATTTCCTATAAATCGTCACGCCGTTGCTGAATTTAATGGAAAAAACGAGTACAATATATAATGAAATTAAAGTTAAATTTTTAATTAATTACGCGCACAATTATGCAGAAATGAACTTTTTCAATATTTTTAGTTTAAAGTAGAAGAAACATATATTTTCTTTCATATTCCGTACTTTATTCAAATATTCCTTTGCGCATAAGTTTAACGTAGCAAATATATATTGAAATTATGCATGTAAAATGCAAATTAATAAAGAATTAATTTGCAATTTGAAATTAAAAACTTTTCAATGAATTGAAAGAAATTGTGTAATCCTATATATTATATTACAACTCAAGATTTCGTAAGGAGAGAGATATCTTCAGGACTTCTAAATAGATTAGATAAATAGATAAGTTTGCGTTTCCGACATACAGATCTGTTCATAAAGATTAAAATTGTCTATGGTACCGCGAATATGTTTCTGAAAGCGATCTTATTCTCGGTGAAATTACCAGATGGATTCACCAGAAGAAGGGCAATCTTCTTTTTCTATCCCGTTTTATAATTTCCAACGAATTTCAAAAATTGGATCGCATAGTGTTTTTTTCTTTGTTTTTACAAAAGAAGTTTTAAAGAAATGTATTTTTACATTGTCGATGAAACAGATGGAATCATGTATTCTGTACGTTAATAATGATTTTTAATAAAATACGTGAAATCATATAAAACCTTTTGGAACGTGTTTTGAAATATGTTTAATAATAAATTTAACATAAAAAAAAATATTTACTCTAATAAAAGAATACAATTATAATATCCCATTGAAGTGATCATATTATTTCATTAATATAAATTCAAAATATTTTATTTATACTTTAAATAATTTAATTGTAGAGCAAATATAAGCCTTTGAATACAGTTCTTTTTAATATACACGTCGCTGAATAAAGCATTTGGTCGACAATGGTAGAAACTACTTCAACTCGCGCTTAATGCCGTATTCTGATTGTCCAAAGACGGTACATTACGCTTTGC